GACCCCCCCCCCCGGGGGCCACCGGAGGAAGGAGATTGGGGTCTCACCGCGGGACGAGCCCCCCCTTCCCCGTGCAGAGCAGCGGTGACATTTTACTGCCAGGGTTTCACGCAGCCCCTGCGATTCACCGGGCTCTAAATTCCAAGGTAATGAGGATTAGATGAGCTGCTGGAATTAGCCGTGCCTCCAGGTTAATTAAGCCGGCAGCACTCTGATTTATGGTAACTAGTTGAAGGGACCAGAGCCGTTTCCCCAGCTCAGCCAAACCGTGCATCACGGGGTGGGGGAATCCTGCTCTGGCCTCTGCTGACCCCTCTGCTGCTCCCCACCAGCAGTAGAGTGTCCTGACCCTGCGAGGGTCCGGCTGCGGTGGCCCGGGGTGGCCCTACCAGGTGTGGTGGCCTCCAGGTGCCAGTGGGCAGGGGCTACGGGTCCCAGCAGGCAGGGATGGGGCCAGCTGGGAGCACCCAGCCACGCTGTGGTGGGGTCTGTGCCGTGTGTCTGGGTGTCATCGCTCACTCGATGTCTTTCTGGCCCAGGTATTTATTTGCTGCCACCTGCCAGGGAGCTCTCTTGGCCGCTGGGCTCCTGGAAGCAGCAGTGGGGTCCTCTCACTTGTGCCGAGCCTGGTCCCTACGTTTTGGTTTCTGGACTGGTGGCTTCGAGACCGGTGCAGCCAAACCGGCTCCAGCTTCTGGCTGAAGCGCAAAGCCTGGGTCGCAGCAGGATGTGCCTCCAGCGCTGCTGGCAGCAGCATTTCCCTGCATCCCTACTGGGAGCCCCAAATCCCCCAGCAGCCGCGAGATGGAGGGATTGTCACACAAAACCAGCAATTCCCTGCAGCCAGACTGGCCGGCCCCGGGAAGGTGCTGCCTGGGCTGGACCCCATCCTCTGCCGAGGAGCTGAGGCCAGGCCCTGGCACGTGGGACGGCCGGTGTTGTGCCCTGGTTGATACTGGCAGATGCGAGAGGGCTGGTCCCTGTCTCCTCACTACCTCCCAAGCTCCCACAAGAGGGTTTTTGATGTGTTCTGGTATTTTTCCAGAGGCTGAACACAGTTAACACTGTAATTCCCTGTTTTTTTCTTTTACCCCTTTCCAAGTAAAGGGGAACCATTTGCTCTTTTTCTGCCCTGGGGTGTCTGCCATCCTTGGCAGGTTCCTCAGGACATCACCACCGCACTGAGGTCCCTTCCTGGGGCTCAGATCCCAGCTGCCCCTGGGTGCATGGCTCAGCCCATGCTGCGCTTGTCCCTTCCCTGTCCTCTCTCCTTTCCCGCCGCTGGCCAAGGTCTTTTGGGGTGTCCTGGCCCCCCTGATCCCCTCTGGGCTCCTGTTGCCTCCCTGTGCAGTGCAGAACCTCCTCCATCCTTACCGGCACATCATTATTCAAGTCACGCGATGCCCATCGCGTGTCCCTGATGTGCCAATTAAGTCACAGCTCTAATTACGCACTTAAGCTCCCCAGTCGCTCCTCTTCCCTCTCACATCACCAGATGGACACCTGGGAGGTCACCAGCCGTCCCCCTCCTTGTGCCTGAGCCCCTGTCCCATCCCACCTTTTTGGCCTGGGCTGCATGGCCAAAATGGAGGGAAGTGGATGTGGAGATGGTGCCATTGTCCCCCAGGAGGGACAGTCCCGGTCCCGAGGTCCCCAGGGGGTGATGGTGGCACAGAGAGATGTCGGCAGATTTGGGGGGCCCTGTGCTGCTGCTCCCAGGAGACCCTGCCCGGCCCCCCAGAGCTGCAGTTGTGCCCCAGGGGCAGCTCGGTCACCCCCAACCATCCTCCACACCTCCCTGCAGCACCCTGAGCCCTCGGGGTGAAGGTGCCCTGCACCCCACTGCAGACCTCACCCGGCATCGCATCCCCATCCACCGGGGACCACTCTGGGGCCTCTGCCCCCCCCGATCCCCGGGGGTTCCTGCCCGGCTGCATGTCGGGGGGACACTGTGTCTGGGGGGACTCTGCGTGTCGGAGGGGACACTGCAGGGGTCACACGCAGGGGGGGCAGGGCTGTGGGGAGAGCTGTGGGGCAGCTGCACAGGGTGCTGGGTGTGTGGGGTCCTGCTTTGGGACGGGGGGTGCCAGGGTGCGGTGCTGGGCAGGGGGGGCTGTACAAGGTGCTGAGATCGGAG